TGGTACAGGTCCTTATATAGTTTTTTAGGTACACAGCGTCTAATTCCACATAGTCTACCTATCTCACATTTCAATTTACGGTTTAACGCTCTTAAGTGAGCATCCCAGTTCAGTTTTTGGTCAATAATGACTCCAAGAAACTTAGTTTCCTCCACCTTTTTAATTACTATATTATTTAGTGTCAGTTCTAATTCATTGGTGTTAAGTGAAGGGGCCAGTGCAGTGGCGTAACGAAGAGCGATGCTGACTTCCGGGAGAACTGTAAACATAAGCTGAACTGACTTGATGAGTTTATAAAGTTAAATAAAGTCCATGTACAATACCTAACTCTTTGAAAGAAACAATTGCAAACCTTGTGAATAAAGCTTGATGCTCAAACATCAAATATTCAGACAGAATCTCCTTTTATATAACTAAAAATAAAATCTTGGTTGTACTAAACTCTTTGTCAACCCTAATGACTTTGGTGATAGATCCAATAATTTAAAAGAATCTAGACATGATCTGACACAATGCACAAGTTTAAAACATAATTGAATAGTTGGCGATTTATAAAATCTCTACAGAAAGTACATTCTTTAAATTGCACGCATTGCACTAATTATACACGTGTATGTTTATAACCTATTAAGACGCGCGCCGAGCTTTGGTCTCATATTTTAAACTTGTAGCGCGATGCGTTACTGTGCCGCGCCGCGCACTTAATAAGGCTTCTCACAGCTAGATCGGTGAGATGCGCTACTGTGCCGCGCCGAGCTGCCATGAATTGACATCGTCAATTAAATTTTAAACAAACATTTTACGAGTATCATCCGTTAAATTATACAATTGTAAAATTACTTGAAATCCTTTTGAAAGATAATAACAAACTCAAAAACGCTACTGCCTTTATCATTTATTGACGGATTTTCCTCAAAGTAGCGCGCGCCGCTTTCTTCTCGAAATGTTGGTTGTAGGTTTACAACCTACCAGCAACCAGGACGCGCGCCGAGTTGGACTCGTCGACGGTCCTGGAACAGATATTTTACGAGTATCACCCGTTAAAATGTTGGCCCCCATTATTGTAGGTTTACAACCTACCAGGACGCGCGCCGAAATGTACTCTATATGGAACAGATATTTTACGAGTATCACCCGTTATTAACCCCCATTAACAATGAACAACTGCCTTTTTTTATTTAAAAAGAACAGCAGCGAGATAGCTGAAACTTAAATTAGTAATACCCGTTTATTAATTGGAAATATAAAACAATGTCGATAAATTGTGAAGCAATGCAGTGCGCGTTATTTTATCCAGAACCATTACGCTTGCAGTGGCGCGCGCCCTCCTCCAGCTCCCGGCGGTACTTGCAACTTGTGAAACAAGCGCACCCGCAGCGGCGCGAAAGCACATGATTAGGTGAACAGTGCGCGCGTTAGTAAAGATAAGCCTACAACATATTTTATATATTGTTTTAATACGTGTAAAGTTATTCAAATATTTTTTTGTCATACGTTGTATGACCCGCCGCGCACGAAGTGCGCGGCTCCCCCTGTAGCGTCGAAGACGCTACAGTGAAGCGGCAGTGGGGGTCACCGCGTGATACAAATATTTTTAATTGACGATGTCAATTCATGGCAGCTCGGCGCGGCACAGTAGCGCATTTCGCCGATCTAGAAGCCTCATTGAGTGCGCGGCGCGGCACAGTAACGCATCGCGCTACAAAAATATTTATATTGGTGTTATACAATATACCTACTTCATATACTGTACCATTTTATTTTTGTGCTAAAATGCGAATAAAAAATAAATGTATTTTGTCACAATTTATTTTTTGTTTTCTTGAAATGTGTTTTGTCACAAAATCAAATGATATTTATATTTGCTTTACTTTTGGGCCTTGGCACTTGGGCTTTTTAACAATTTGAACTCTTCCGAATCACTTGTGTTGCTTTACGAATCAAAGCAATGATCTCGAAGCGATCAAGCAAGTATGATAATGCGCACTGATTGCACGCTTGTAGATTCCAATGTACAAGCTGCACGTGACACGATTCAGCCAATCAGAGGAGAGGAATCTGTAAAGTTAAAGTTAATTTTCAGGACTTTTGGCAGTGCTTGGGTAATGAATTGGTCAAACTTAGATTTCTTGTAAGTTTCGTAAAATTTCAACGATTACTGAGGGTGTTCCTCGTTTTCACTATTGTCGTCATAAAATGAAAACGTTTTGAAATAAGAGCTCCAAAGTTTATAGAGTAAAACAAAGTATTTTTAGTAAAACAAAGTATTTTATTTATTAGCAGTGCAATCAATTCATATGATATAATATGTTCATTATATGCAAGCCTCTTGATTTATAATTATAAGAATATAATAGTATGTCACACCTATTTAACTGTTACGTTTGAGCAGTCGTGCCATGGCTTAATCTAACTAGGACCAGTGGTGTCGATTAACATTTAATAGGTGAGTCTAAATGACAGAAATGGAAAATTTTAAGAAAAGACGGATCAAAACACAGATCCAAGGACAAGGAGACTCCACTGCAGGACCATAAAAGAGCACACCAAACCGATATTCAAGCATAATAATATTCTAGCTATACAAAATCTATATACATACCACAGTTACCTCGAGCTCTACAAGATAATGAAATTCCGTGCTCCAATATCCTTACATGAGGGTTACACATGTTCATCAAGGAAACCCTGCCTTCTAATCTGTCAGGCAGACCCACCTGACAATCACAACACTAGATCAACCAAAATTTTTAACATCTTAACCCCAAAGTTCAGAATGACTGATTTGACTACTAGTGTAATGTGCTTGCGAGGAAAGCTAAAACGTGCGCTACTAGCTAATCAACATAACCACGCCCTGCTTGATTGGACCGTTAAAGACTTTGACTGCACAAATATTATTTTCCAAACATTATAACTGGCTGGTCACACACATCTAAATTAAATTACCCTAGGCTACTGTTTTCCAAGTCTTGTCCTGTGAGTAAAGTACGTGTGAGAAAGTTTTAATAAAATGAATGTATATTTTTGAATTTTTAAATTTTAATTTGAGAATGAAGTATAAAGAAATTTTTAATTAGCATTGTATAGTTTAAAATATTTATAGCTTATTATAACCATTGATAAATTTAAGCCATAATCTTTCGCCTGCTCTCCAATATCCACCTTGATGGTGCATTTTTAATCCTTGAACTACACAATTATATAAAATCAAGCATGTTTTAGTGTAGACTTTTTGTCACAACAAGACTGCAACCTAGATAGTAAAAACTTTAAACAGAACCCCTAATGTCTGCTAACAATTTTTCGTATAGTCCTAATGTGAGCCTTGTCTCTAAAAACTTAACTGAACTAGCGTTTTGGTGTGTGCAAAAGCTCCCAGGCACGCGCATTCCTTGCCCCGTTAGTTACCTGTCCTTCCAAAACCAAACAAGCAGTCAAGTACAAAAAGTCATACACCAAATGGGCATTATATTTTATGAATTGTTTTACATCTTTTTATTCTGTAAAATGTGCTAAAATTAAATTTCTTGTTTCATTGAAATTTCTTGTTTCATTGATACATGCTGTTAGCTTGTGCATGGCCGAAAAGGTTCCAGTTGTCCAGGAAACTTTACGTAGCTGGTCAACTAGTTTTGAATTCAGACTAGGCTTGATGAGTTCTGGGGTTTCTAGAGGTAAGATTTGATGGTGCCAGGTTTGTTCAGGCTGACAGGGAAATTATGCGATAAATATATAGGTATATAAAAATCATATCAATATAAAAATAGATCCAAAGATTCACACAGCAGTCAGGGAACTTCCAGACAGGATGCTTTTGAAACAGGTATAATTAGCGCTTTTGTAATTAATTGTATGTAAGGGATAGACACATGTGATTTGATAATTGAAGTGCTTCTTTCAAAATTTCATGTTAATTGTTTACAACTAAACTGAGTTAGGACCATTTTAAGATCTGGTGTTAGTCCCTAATCAGTGGTCTCTTCACTCAATCAATGGCCTAATTGGTCGGAGACTTCTTAAAGGACAGCAACCGAAGCGCTATAACACGAATTTTTAAATTTTCAGGAAGGTCACTATCAGTATTCACTCAAAGTGATCAGTTTGTCGTCCCCCAAAATGCTTGGTACCGCCGGCTTAATGAGACTCATTCAATGAGTCATCGTTGCACGCTAGCGAATAGCTCCCAATATCACTGATTGGGTGACGAAATCACTGATTAAGTGCAGAGAAAACGTAACCACGTTTTCTCGGCTAAATTGTAGACAACCAACTTGAAATTTTGGGAAAGCACTTCAATTATCAGACCAAGTGTGTCTAGAAAATTGAAATTCCTTGCTCGTAGCTAAGAACTCACTTTAAGACAACAATAGTGAGAAAGAGGGAGTGGCAGAAAATCTAAGTTTGACCCATATCTATATTCTCTGAAATTTGTGTGCAATTATCCTGATACACAGCGCGCTACCTGCTAGCTTACGCTTTTACTCCACTCAAGTATATTTGTAATATGTAATAGTATGTTAGATGTTACCATCAAGCGCCAAAATTTAGTTGGATATTATTTATTCGGTTATATATTTATTGATTGATTGTGTAATAAATTTGTGATAAATAATATAATTATCTTTTCTCAAAAGTTATTTTGTTATCAAAGGGTTGCATGTGCAGTGGCGTAACGGAGGGCCCTGCTGACTCCGCTGTGCAGGAGAGCGCCATCTTAGGGGGCGCCAAATCGTCGTTTGAATGTGGAAAAATTTTGAAAAAAACTGTTTTAGAGATTTTACCGGCGTATCCTCTAAAATCACCTAATTTGTTCAATTGTAGGGAGGGGTGCCAAAAGGGGAAGGTGTGCCAACAGGGGGGGCGCTTTTTCAGGGGGGCACCAACAGGCAACGTTACGCCACTGTGAATGTGGGTAGTTACTTTTGGACCATCCTGTATAATAGCAGACAGATACATTTAACAATGTGGCAACATTTCATCCTATTATTTGCTAATAGATCTGTTCAGAGAATGGAAGCTGATGAGCGGTAAAGATATATTATGGATATCATGGAACCCATGCCACGCTGCAATACCCTGGCCAGCTCAGTTCAAATAAGACAGACCTCCCTTTTTCAGTCTTTGTCATCATTTCTGGATCATGCTCAGTTAGTATTTGGGCAACTTATTGTGAAAATAATTTAAATTTGACTGGTTTATTCTGTAAAAGAGACCTTTGACCCTATAAGTTAAAGTGACTGCTAAGAAAATTTATCTTGAACATCATTTCAGGGTGGAATCATTTATTCGTGCAACTAAAACCGGTGCTAAGAGGAGCAAGGTCTTCATTGCTGTCCTCCTTATCATCAGAAGTATGAACTATATGAATATTTTACTGGCCATAAGTTGAGTGTTTGATTTAAATTACCACTATCGAATCAAATATATTCAAAATGAATTATGATGATTTTAGAAAATTTAGGTTTCTTTTATTCACAGTATTATTTCAGATAAGGATGTGCTGAATTGTGCCCTCTACCAAGTCAAACAGATTGATCATGGGAAGATACGTTTTCAGGTTAGCACCATTTACATCAATAAATTATTCCAAATTCTGTTTTGAACAGGTATTTACTATATAATGCACTTTTCTTAGTACAGTGGGGGGGGGGGGGTACCACTGTCCATTTTATCCCTGCACAAAAAAAACTGAAAAAAGACAAAGACAAAAGGGACAAAAGGGACAAGAGGGACAAAAGGGACAAAAAAAGAAAATAGGGACAAAAAAGACAAAAAAGACAAGGACAAAATGGACAAAATGGACAAAAAGACAGGGACAAAATGGACAAAAAGGACAGGGACAAACGAGACAAATGTTCAGGAAAAAGAGGAGGAATAAGAAAATCTTGATTAGAGGACGGGCATGCTTTTTCTCCTACTTCATAGGAAAAAGCGAATACCCATTAGCTCGATCGCGATATTGTCGGCATATTGTTAATGGAAAAGTAATTGTGTGGGTCTGGGTATCTGCTTCTGGCCGCTATGAGCGTTATGATATTAAAAGATGATGACTTTTTTGATATCACCACTTGATTAATGGGATTAATGAAATATTGACTGAACCGTGTACACATTTATTTATGTGATGCCGTTGATGAATTCTGCTTATTTCAGTCCCTTCAGTGGTTTCAGTTGATTCTAAGTACAGCAAAACATTGACATGAAAATCTAAATTGTTGATGTCGAGTAGAATATATACATTCTCTACATTTGAGCTTGTCTAATTTTTTGTCTCATTTGTCCAAAGTTGTTGTCCCTTTTGTCCATAGTATTGTCCATTTTGTCCCCAAAACACTGTCCTCCACAAAAAAATGTAAAAAAAGACAAAGACAAAATGGACAAAATGGACAATGGTACCCCCCCCCCCCCCCTACATGTACAGTCGTTATAAGTACGGTCGTTATTGGAATTGCTATTTCACAGCATACTCCTGAACAAAATCATGTCAGGTTAAGACAAAATATGATCTGGCAAAGCTGCGTTTAGTCAACGGGGTGAGCGAGGATGAAGAAGAAACTGAGTTGGAGCTGGTTTTTGAAAAAGGGAGTAACCTCATGTCTCCACTAACTGTAAAATGGTCCGCTGAGAGGTATGTTTAAGAGCAGGGGTTTGATTGAATTGTTGCTTGTCTTTTCTGTTATCACTTAAATGTTCTCATCATGGTTTATATTTTAATTTGTGTATTATTTAGTGGTCGAGCAAAGAAGAATTTCCTAGTCTCACTGTGGAAGTTGGTGAATGAGCACATGACAGCCACGCCCCAGTTTCTAAACATTAATTACAACATGCTCCAGGTAACAGATACTACACATCATAATACATACTTCTCGTGTCATAACTATTGCATTCAATTTCCTGTTTGTATTTATAATACAGTAAAGTTCTAATATGGTTTGATCCATTTTAATCAAAATAAAAGCAGCTTTATGATCCAATAAATGTGAAGTCCAGTAAATCTCAGCCAACTTTACTAATATATAATAATCATTAAGATCTCATAAGTTATAACCTTTACAGTCTCATCTTAGTAAAGCTTCTGAACCTAAAATTGTAAGTCTAGGACATGTTTTCATTATCATGCTTGGGGTACTCTCTTCATTACACCTAATTTTCTCAGATTTCATTATTTTCCCATAATTCAAAACAATGCCTTTATTTCATACTGAGAGATCTGCATCCTTGATTAATTTATTGTGTTATATGCTTCTATAAATAATGAACTTAATTATATAACTTGTCTTGTTAATTCCTCAATAAGCACTTCAAATGAAATTCTTTAAGTTTTGTCTGCGCCATGAGCGTTTCCTACGTGTAATGCGTTACATTTTTAAACTTTTGACAAGTCGATTCTTTGATTTCACTGCTTTCTCAAGTTCTTCCTTTACGGTACCCACTTCCCAAGATGATTATGACGTAGCCTTTTAAATTGACACTAAATTGAGCAGTATCTGTCAGCATTAAAAATACTTCCACTTGACTCTGATTTAATCGCAGGATTCTCTGTCTCTGTCTAAGACCTTGAAACAAGTGTCACTTTTGGGATCCCCTGCTCTCGAGATGAAAGAGTACAAATACCTTACTGGAGAGGAGGAGCAGGATCTTGGTATTTAATTGATTTGTGACCTGAGTTTAATCATGGTCCCGTTATTCTGCCATAAAGAAGTGGTTCATCTGGTTTACAATGTTATGCTACATTATGAATTCCCTTGTATCATACATACATTGTACACTTTTCTCTAGATATACAGCCTATTCCACTTGGTGGCTCTTTTAGTTTCAGTTTCAAATTCTTAAAAATGAGCTTGATGAGGAGGAAATATTTCTACTCAAACGATTATTTGAGGTAAAAAATTGAGTATAAATAATAATATCAGGTGTTGTAACGGACGGTATAGATTGGGCGGTTGAGAACGCGGAGGACTTCATGGAGAAACTCATGAACGAGCTGTCTGGACTTACCAAAGCGAATATTCATTCCATTATGGCTGTTGAGAATGACGTCATCAGACTGTTTAACATAATGGACCACGCCCTTCACGAGCTGTGCAGGTATTTTCATTGATAGAGCAGGGAAACACTTTTGCACATGGATCAAAAAATACGTGAGAGTCACATAAATAATCTCAATACAAATATAAACAGGCAGGTACATCATTAAACCCCATGCCCATTTATTCCCCAAGTTTCTTCAGAAAAGAAACTTGATTAAACAGTAATTTGGTAGCTTATGCATAGGTGTTCTTACACTTAGTGCAGTAACTCTCTTCTTCAAAACTAAGCGTCTGTTCTGATGCCCGTTTTCAGAGTGAGATGAGCAACGAAGGTAGCCGCTAAATCAAGTGGAGGAAATGTGTAAAGAAAGGTGTTCAGTGTTTTGTAGTGCTGTTAGAACATACCTGTATTTTGGAAAAAGGACCAGAACACATTGCACATATATTTTAGGTCTTAATACTTAGTTAACTCAGTCGGTAGATCATGAAACCTTTATTTCTTCGTAACTGCTGTAGTGGGATTGTCCGTGTTTCTTGTTCTCCGTGAGATTATGATCAAAGAACGCTGTGGTATTGCTCCAGATATCACTCTGAATACACATAAAGTGGAATTTTACGGCAAAACCAAACGATATATCATTATGGTAAATAATTTCAAAATCTCCTAGAAATCAGAGCATGTAACCAGAACAGTTGTATATCCAGCTGAAACCTAAAATACTGATGTTCATATCAGATGTAGACATTATTATATGGCGCAGTGTTGATATTGTTTGCATCTGTAATGTTGCGTTGTTGTTGGCTTTGTTCTTCTAGTGTACTGTAACTCCATTAACCATAACCTGTAAATATGTGACAAATGTAAATTTATACCGTTTTGTTGATCTATGATAACTTACGACTAACTAAAACTGTTGACTTTCCATATATTGGGACAACAAATCAAACTATGGATTGCGCTCGGAGGAGGAGTACATACTAGATGTAGTATCGTGCCGTTTATAATATCACTGGCATCGCCGTTTTCCCATATTTGATATCAGACGATTCAGACTAGGACAATAATAAAAGAGCTGGTCGATTTAAGACAATTAAAACTATTGATCGACTGCGGTTAATAATGTATTGCTAGGCCAATATGGCTTTGTCTTTGTCTTTTTTTCTTTTTGTTCTTCATTCATTGAATAAAAGACGTGTCCATTTGGATCGTGAAGCACAAGGAATAACGATTAATAGAGTAGTTGTTCCTATATCAATAAAACAGCGCACAATTATTCCTTTACCCGTACGTTGGTTGAAACGGAATAAATAGACGTCGTTCAGGAAAAGCACCTTAGGAATGGAAATTTGTAAAACGGCTAAAAAACAGCGTGGGAGCAATAAAGTGCATCGCACGTGCCTTTTTACATCGCGATATCATGCGATTAAAGCTGTTCTTTTTACCAGATTGGAGCGTGTAACATTCATTCATTTTCGAACTTTCAAAGCGATATTAAAATTTGATGTAATGAATCTGAAGCTCCGCCGCGCTTGAAATAATTAAATGATAAGAAAATCGTAGGATTTCTTGGCAAAAGAGAGAAATAAAAGGAAATAATAAAGATCAAATGGCAGTCATCCTCATTATTCTGTGGAGCTTTCATCTCATACTTGAAAGTATTAAATACTTTCAACACTACTATATAACAAATAATTTGAGCCTGAAGATGGCGTTGACGCCGAAAATTTGCCCTTACTCCTAACTTCCTTGTTTCACTTGTCCTTGTCTCTTCCAACCGGATAATATCCAGATATCAGTATTTCAATCATGAGACTAATAAACAGCGAACTACTCCGTTATTTGATATTTTACTTTTAATTAACAATGATCTCTCCGCTAGGCTGGAGGATATAATGGTTAGATACGAGGATGAATTAAACGAGGACTTGATAAGAATGGAGGAGACACTGCAATCCTACCAGAAGCAACAAATAAGGTCCGTATATTTGCTTTCAATCAAAAACTGAATCAAAGTCAAAAATCGAAATTTAAAATGTGGACACGAGTCTTGTAACACCCTGTGTAACACCCTGTGTAACACCCTGTGTAACACCCTGTGTAACACCCTGTGTAACACCCTGTGTAACACCCTGTATAACACCCTGTGTAACACCAACACCCTTTAACAATGATTAAATCCCAGGAATGACAACACACGGAAACTACACGATCTGCTAACAGAGCTGCTGGATCAGATCACATTCAGTGAGACAACCTCCGATATCCTGCTGAGTATGCCTCTGAAGACAGCTAGTCAGATCAGCAGGGTTACTGAAGCTGTCCTTCTGATCCGGGACAAAAGGAAGAAGTGCAACGCCTCCCCTCTCATACACATGGTGTGTGTGGCTGAGCAGAGGGACAAGATGGATGCCCTACTGCAGGCGTGAGTTTTTTAATTGTTGCATAAAGCTGTGTATTATTAGTTTTCAAAAGCAAAACACGTTCCTTTAGATGATGGCATCAGGTGAGCATCAGGACATCCTGAACTCCACCAATTCTATAAACATGGTTTACTTAGTTGTTAGTGGACACACATCAAAATAGATGGACATGTAGGAAAATAACTTTGCGTATATGGACTGTAAATGGGGGGGGGGGGGGGGGGGGGGGGGGTGTAAGGAGGACTGGTTCCTCCTGTTAAATATTGTTGACTGTACTCTCACTGCTAAGGGAAATAATCAAAAGAAGAACATTCACCTTATTTCACTGCCTCATCCATACTCAGGAAGTTATCGACCGCACTTTAAGTCGGTAAGGATATAGTGGGCGGGCATACATACACGAACACAACTCTGAATTATAATAGAGATTTTGTAATGTTATTTCTGTGATAATCAGATTGAAATAAAATAATCGATTGTTGTGTAAAGACTCAAATTAATAGCACGAATTTCAAGCCAGGTTTATCCTGAGAGAAATAGCATGCAATTCAGAAAACTTCAGCGCGGCAATTCAAGCTCAAATGTAAAAGCATAAAACTAAAAAAAGAAACTGAAAGAAGAAGGCATGCACTCTTGCTCTGTGAGTCCCGGACTTGCTACTCTGTAAAGTGCAACATAACCTCAAAAGAGCCATCATATCAGCTTGAAATTTGTGTACAATCTTCTACTGTTGAAATACTACTTCAGATCTGTTCATTTTCTTGCCGGTTTTCAAATTTCCGTTTCCACATATTTATGATTGCAGCGTTGTCGTGTTGAAACTTCAGACATGGCGTAAAAGGAAATGTTCACCAGACAAATAACCGCAAATATCATGATAACCGGAAAGTAATCCATGGTTCGGTGGTTAGGAGCGAGTCCCATGAGGACTGCCCCGATGATGATGACGATCAGTGAGAGTATCTCAATCAGCATGTGAGCCAGTGGACGGATCATACTGTCTTGACAAGAGGTGTACCCTGAATAGTAGGGTCATTTTCCAAGGTTGAAAGTTGGCGCGATAAACGCATTAGGATTTACTGAAATTCACTGACATTTACTTACGAGTTCTTTATTCCATTCAATTAAAAATGTAAGTACACTATAGCCCAACTGTAGCTGTGTTCCAGTCGTACCTCGTTTTATAGAATTAGTTGTGTACTCACTAGAAAGGTAACTCACCTACTGACTTTCCTCCCAAACGCACACCATCTCCGTTCTCAGCCCTTCCATGAACACTCTCCATTCTTCCAACCTTTATTTTCACTCTGCCTACTGACGATTGTAAGGAATATTCGTCTTCTGAAATCAGTTAATCTTATTATATAAGGACATTTTTGTTCGTTATGACATCTCAGGTAGTTTTTGTATAATTATATTATGTATCATCCGTATGGTATGAAGCACTTTCCTAACACAGTACCTGTATCAATTAGAAATTTGTTTCCAGATAACATACCCACGCATGGTTCAAATCATGAGAACAGTAGCGAATGGCTAGATACGTACAATAACCGATGTTTCAAAGCATCCATCTTTTTTAAAGGACCTTTACTAGCTCAAACAGACACCAACAAGAACATCACGTCCCTACCTAGCTTATTTTCAATAAATATTTACAAATCGAACGCAAAACGCGTGCTTCTTGAGCAACAGTCAACACTAGCTAACTCAGAGGACAGCTGGCCAGCATTTCTGCTACACAACGTACCTGGTTTGAGGAAGTCCAATAGATGATGATTGAGTAATACAGCGACCAATAATCGCTAAATCATGACATCATATCATAACATAACATAACATAGGACGACAGCAAACACCCAATAAACGAGCAGTAATAAACAACGTTCGCTTAATGGACTGACATATTTCAGCATATTTTTCACTGCCAAAGCGCTGATAACAGCAAGCCTTACCCCACTCCGCGCGGCTTTTTAATGCACTAAATCTTAAAGATAATTCTCGCGATAAAATTTTCATCGTCACGCTTGAAAATTTCTAGAAATTAGAATAGCCGTATATTATAACAAACTATAGCAAGCAGAATTAAAAGATAAAAGGTTCTGGGACTTGAGTGGTACAAATAAAATGAAAGGCATGCTAATCATGCTCACGTACTGTAATGTATCGAGAGTTTTTTTAATTTTTACTATTTGACAAAATAATTGATCTTTTTAGTGTGAGTGTGATTTCAACTTTGAGTTTGAAAATATTTTGAAACGACTTTCGATATTATTGATTATTATATTTAATAACCTGTCTCAAAGCCCTTAGAGGTGGCTCTATACGGGTCTTTACAACAACAACATTTAAACCTTGTAAAGACTCTAGAATGTTATGGCTGGAAGGTTATGTACTTAACTTCAGACTTAACACCCCTGATCCTACAAAATGTATATCCTACTATTGCCAAGATTACCATCGTGTTCCTGTTCAGCAGTGTCTTCCTGTGGTATATCCTCTGGTTCTTCTTCTGCTTCCTCAGCCTCACTGGTCTCTTGTTGCCCTACAAAAGCAGTTTCCTGCGTGTTAGGATTTACATGGACTGTGTAGCCGTTGTCATCTGTTTGGGTCACCACCACATCTTGTGCTGGTGCTGGTGTTGGAGCTGGTTCTGGAGATGGTTCTGGTTCTGAGGTGGGAGTTGGTTCTGAAACTAGGGTTGGTTCTGGTTCTGGGGTGGGAGCTGGGTCAACTAATTGGTAGATATTTTCTGCATCTCCTCCCCCTCCTCCTCCTTAGATAAATTAGAGGTGTCAAAATATTGGAAATAGTTACAACCATGATTTCAAGAGAAAGGACACCCGGTATGTGGTGTCAAAATAAACAGCTACTACTTGCTAATACCGTTATATTTATTAAATCTATCATAGCTGATATTTATCAGATGGCAACAATTCTTTCAATAAATCTAAAAACACTAAACTACTAAACTCACCGCCGGGACTCTCGTCATCGCCCATTTCCTGCGTTTCCCAGTTTAGTTAATTAAGATTTTAAAATGTACAATTCAAGCTGATTATAAAGATGATTGTAGTCATACGAGCCATACGAGCCATACGAGTAAAACCCTCACTTTTTCTCGGACTCTATATTTTGTTTCTCCTCTAAATATTTAGATGAAAAAAATTAATGTTTAACTTGTGTTACTATCATCATGACGGTGGTAAACAAAACTATTCATCAGAATAATAGAAGCAAACAAGGGAATAAAAATGAAGGTGAATACTTAATTAAGGTTCGTTATAGTTGAGAGCGTCAGAACAGCTCTCAACTTTAATAAAAACGAAGCAACATAATAAAAAGAACGTCGGATCAATACAAGCTGTTGGGATTGACAATCATATAATATCCAGGGCTAACCATACAGGTCGAGAAACCTGTACAAAGTGCAATAATTATCAGTTAAAAGTAAGTACAAATACAATGAAAAAGACTAAAATGAGCTGATGCCCTTCACTGTATACAGAAATCACCGCTTGTCTCTCAATAAACGAAGCTCATCTTAACCGCATGCAAACGAGACTAAACTACATTCACAAAATACTTGACAGTGTTTTGTCAGGTATTTAAGAAACATGATACAGAAGGCAAGAGCTGGTAGTTACTCCATGATGAACTCCAGTCACTTAGCAAATTAAATGGAGTAAAATCGGACACAGTGCTGGGTAGAGTTGGAAGGCACCTTATAAATTCCCTTCATTTCACCACTTTCATGTACTTTTGCATTTGACATTGCTTTACCTTGGAACAATGCCAATACTTACTAAATTGCACCTTAAACTGAATCGTTGCAATTTTCCGCCCTGAATGCTCCTTATATACAGTGTACTAGTGATCTTAATAGGAGATTGCAATGCGCTGATTGTCATCCTTAAAATAGTTCTCTTACTTTTCTGAGAGGGGCAAGGCTGGGGTATTAGTCAAGTCTCACAATGGTTGACGTAAATAAAACTTATCTGGTAGTGTAAATGCTTGTGAGTGATACTGGCACGTCATGGTCTATGAATGCTTGGTATGTCAATGTACTGGTTCTTGGCAGTTGGCAAGTGCTCCTATATCCTAACTTGTATAATATAATGAATAGATAAGCTAAGCTTTAACTTTTATTACACGCTTCGACAATAAAATCTATCAAAAAAGATACATTTAAGTCAATCAAGCAACACTAAATATGAAGATAATTTAGAACTCCTGATCATAGAATTGATCACAATGTATAATATGTGATGAAGCTTCTAGCTGGTGGGACCGTAAGAATTTAAATATGTACACATGATCGTTAAACCGAATGATATGCTGTCCTCAAACAACAAAACAGCTGCTGAAATTGCTACCAAAACAAGTGTCTGTTACAACAGTCCTATCTTGCATCGAAATTATTCTTAAAACTCACAGAAAGTTTGTCTGTCACTAATTTCTAATACTTGTATAGAGAAGAGCTGTTAAAGGAAATGTAACGAAGAACAATGAATCACTTGAATCACTGAGTCTAGCTCATTTGTCTAGCAGCTGTGTTCAGTAGGCTACAGTATTTAGATAATATATATAATATAATACAAGTGTCATTCTCGAAATGTTACAGAAAGCCACAAGTTTTGGCGTTAGTCATTTCTCACGTCATTACGCTGTCACGTGACCTAAAGCGCGTGTAATGTAACGCAGCAGCTCCAGTGCCCCTTGTAATGAGATACCGATTTAAAGTAGAATTAGATTGTGCCCGTTATGAACTGGTCCCATGGGACCAGGCTTCCTTTACAGTCCCCCAGGTGTAAAGGTGTTATCTCAACCTTGATTGGTTATTTAGTGCTCGGTCAAGCCCACTATGTAAAACACTTCTCTAAGCCATTTAGCTGTTTTGTCATAATATTGTCTTGTAGCTATAGTGGTTCGAATTTCGAATATATATGCATTTAGATGTTGGCAAATTTCTCACTAAAATGTGTATTTTGATTACAAATAAACTAAAAGACGACGTTATTTCAGGTTCAGCGAGAGAGTTATTGAGGCAGTGGCTGGTATCACTTCCCCAGCATGGAATGCTGCTCAGTCAATACGACATTCCAAGCTTGCACCACTTCTACCGGTACTGAGGATCTTTTATTCCGCTTTTCATTTTCAATGTACCACTTTTTAGAAATAATCCTTTTTTAGCAATTCTGAGTATAAACTGTCAAACTTCTCCATGTTTTTAGAATGTAGTTTTAATTAGACAGATACATATTTTCTTGATAATTCAGTGCAGATCTCCAACTGACTACTGTATTATACTACTACTACTAACTGACTACTGTACAGGTTGTAAACTGGCTGTCAACCTTCGCCAAACCAAAATACGACGACCTAGTTGCACAATACCAAGTCACAGCACAGACCGCCTACCAGAAGGTTCTACGAGAATTCTTCGAAGACAAGCGCAGCACAGTGACCCGAAAATCGACCGAGAAAATCCTCTCAAAGTTTGGTTCCCGGAAGTCAGAGTTGGCACTCTCCCAAAAGCTGATGGGCAGTAATAACCGACTGCAGTCTCAATCCTCGCTCCACTCCGGAAACTCAACCACCTCACTCGACTCAATTGCCTCCTGTAGATCTGAGTCTGACTTTACTGTTACACATGGGAGTCAGTTCGAGGCCTCGTTCCGAGACTCGCTTGACTTTATAGAGATTACTATGAGCAAGGAGGAAGGGTTTATCAACAATTTCTTTAAGAGACCAGGAGCAGGAAAGATAGAGCTGATATGGGAGAGGTTGTTTTGTGCAGGTATGTAAACTGTAAAGTGTGGTATGTATGCAGGTATGTATGCAGGTATGTACGAAGTAAAGCTCATCTGATGGTCGACTTATAACTCATTAATAGCAGGATCAATCATACAGATGTTCCCACTGTTGCTTCAACGCTAGAAACTAAAGATGTATTCGGTTTTAGTAACTTCCAGGATCCTTACAATTGCCGCTCCTTCTCCCAACCTTAAATCCGCACTATTACCAGGTTTGTAGCAGAGCTTGAGAGCTTTATAAACACCAGCTGTAAGTTTGACCCGTACTACGCCCTCCCCATATACCTGAGTATACTGGACAGATTAGATGACACCCAGCAGGAGAGCTTCCTGTTCAATGTACTACGTCACTGTCTCGATACTAGCAACTTGTACTTCAACGAAATGCACAAGGTAAGACCTGCTGCAAATTAACTGATATTTTATAAAACTTTGACGCGGTGGGTGGGTGGAGGCTCGTAATTTTGATATTATATTTAAATATTGAACTAAGGAGTGGGGAGTGACATCTCCTTGTTTCAGATGCAGAAGAAGAGGATTCTGGAGAGTAACAAGAAGGCGAGAAGAGGCACTGCATCCTGTGTTTTACAATTCACCCAATTCCTCCTCTTCTCTGAATCTTTGATGAAGAATGCCAGGCGCTCTTCTCTGGGTAAAATTATATTTTCTCCCAATTTTCTTCTGTTAATTCAAATGTAGATTTAAATAAGTTTGGTAATTTACACAAGTGCTTCGACTTCATATTATAACGATGCTTAGGTTATTTGTTCCGGAGACCTGTCCAGTGCCCGACACGTTAATGATAACTTTCACTTCAGATCTGTGTTACACCCAGTTAGCTGAAGCGGTGTGTCAGTCTATTGAAGTGTTCTCGACCCACCAGTCTAAGGTATACAAATAGTGCAGTTGTAGTCATTAACCCGCGGCGGGTAGGCACGTGCCTTAAAATATTATTATTAAATCAAAGTTCTAAACAAGGGATAGTTAAAAAACATCGCCCAAGTCTAATCTTTCCCTAAAACAAAAACTAAGAATAAAGAACTTCATTGCAATTTCCGCCAATATCTCTTGTCATAACTCAAATTACGGAGATAATGCAGGTCAAAGATATTATTCAAATAAAGATTTCTTTTACATAAATCATGCACAATCAGCGAGAATAGATTGCTTTGGGGTCTTCCTCTTCTCCCTGGTAAGTCCAGTGTATTGATGGCAAAAATGAGGGAAGAAAACGCTGGTCCGTCAATAGGACCCCGCAAAACATGTCCTAACATTCTCCACCGACTACGGGCCACTTTTTCTGACAATGGCTCAGCATTGCAGCGTTTATACAAGTTTTTAAAATAATATTACATTAATACAATAAAGTTATAATACAATAAAGTTATAGTACAATAAAGTTATAGTGCGATAAAGTTATAGTACAATAAAGTTATAGTACAATAAAGTTATAGTACAATAAATTTATAGCACAATAAAGTTATAGTACAATAAAGTTATAGTACAATAAAGTTATAGTACAATAAAGTTATAGTACAATAAAGTTATAATAGTACAATAAAGTTATAGTACAATAAAGTTATAGTACAATAAAGTTATAGTACAATAAAGTTATAGTACAATAAATTTATAGTACAATAAAGTTATATTACAATAGAGTTATAGTACAATAACGTTATATATAGTATAATAGTACAATAAAGTTATAGTACAATAATGTACATTCTGACATCAAGGCTCCGCGGTGTAGGGTTTTGGTAAGATATAGTTGTATGATTTCTTCTAACGCATCCTATATTATTAACATATTATTACGCTAGTGCAATTAATATAATGTAAACTTATGTTAGCGTATGGGCAGGAAATTGCGGAACACGATATTACAGTATCTTTCAGAAAATCAGTGCGATTAGTTTTGTAATCGCACTGACTATGTTTTCGATTTCTCTCAAAACAGTGCAATTCGTTTTTTAATCGCACTCCCTGAAAAAAAAACCGGAGCGATTATGAACAAAATAAGTGGCAGTCAAATAGGTCAAAAGTGGAGTTATATTATTAACTGAACTGATAACATTCCAGATGCCGAGTGAAGTAGCGACGATTGAGAATTACCATTTCATCTACCACTTCTTATTTAGGAACAAAATAGACGGACTTGACAAGTTTAGAACGGTAAGTGTAACTCGACACAGATTGATTATGTCATGCATGATTAATGTTCATAATTTTAGTTTTACACATTCTTATGCTATGCATAATTTTATCATGTTTTCTAATTTTTAGTCCATTAATTATGATACAAAATCAATCTTGAGGAAGTTTTTGTGCTTAAAACAATTCCATCTAAGCCTAGCTCACTGATCTATCTCAGCATTGCCACAAGAAGTATAAAGACAGTTTGGAGAAGTACGTGAAGTCTTATCTCGGAACACCACTTGATAAGATAAACGTGTTTTTCGAAGGAGTAAATCTCAAGCTGAACTCTGGAGTGCCCCATCAAGAGGTTTGTTCTGTCACAAATTCTTTTATTGCTTTTAAATATAACTGTATCCTGACAATGTTTGAAGTTTAATAAGACTCAACTTTAACAGAAAATAGATAAATTGTGGATTAATTCACTTGCCTAAGTATTTTGACTTACAGATTGATAGTCACCACTCCATAAATGTGGTCAGGTGCACCTCTAATGTAAAAGTGATAGCTAAGCTCGACAGCAATGAATAGTATTTAATTAATTAATACATTTGTAGAGCGGAATTTCAATGTTGTCGATGACAGGGAAGATATACTGTGTTGTTCGACGAAATAAATGCAAAATCCACATTCGGTAGCATTTAGAATGTACAGTGTACATTCCAAATTTACATTGTACACTATATTTACCTGCTTATCATGTACTTCGATAGTATCCAAATTCTCTCATAAATGGACGGCAACAAATTAAAACACAACTTTCATTTGAATCTAACAGGAAAAATGCAGGAAATACCTAAAACATTTTAGACAATCAGTGTTTGTTGAAGAATTTAAAATTGTGTGTCTTCAACCACTTCGCTTCACTCGTAGATGCTTCAACGACTTGAACCACCCGACTGGACCATGCACCTCAAAAGATCCTATACTATGTAAGTCAGCTTGGTGGTAGAAGATCTGGAGAGCTTTGTCGTTAATCCTGGTCTGGATAAAGGTTCTAGTGAACTCTATCGAGATCACAGTTTCGTTCTCGTCAATATCTTCCTTGTTCAGCCTTTCTATAAGCTTTGGAAAGTGGGCGTGTGTGTGGCCGAAGAAGTAGGTTTGGGAGATCGCTTGGTGATTTTGATCTATCGCGATATGGTAGGGAATGTTGACGTCTGATGCCTTTTCAAACAGGCTCACATAAGCGCTTTGCATTCCTTTCTGGATAGATTTACCTGTCACAACAACCACATCACCTACCTGAATACTGTCTTCAAACCCATAATCTTTGTTGTTGATGAGGCTTTCTCTCATCATAACAGTTGTGTATTCATTTCCCTGGTGACTCTCCTTTTCTATTGCCTCGTCCTTTATTTCCTCTTCCTCTGTTTGGACTATAGTGAGAGTTACTGATGTGACAAAGAATCTCGATCCACTGGGATTTTCAGCACAATTCATTCGCAGCATGTTCATGCGACCTTGCAACCCCCACTTCTTGCCCCAAGAGTTTTCAACAGTGAAGAAATCCTTTTTGTAGGCCAGGAGGGTGACAAAGTGATTGCAATGTATGCCTGCAACACACTCGTTTGACTTTCCACTTTGGTAGTAAAATATGTGATCGTTTACGTGGATACATACGGAAACAGGACCACTGCCCTTAAAATGATCCATCATTCCTCGTTCAGTCGGGAATGATACTTTCGAACGGACCACCTCGACAGCGTGACTCATGGCATTGTCCAGGTTCCTGTCATCTTTACAATGGTGTTTAATTCCGGTGTAAGGGAGATCACTTTCAAGAGGCAGATTCTTTAATCTATGAAGGTATCTAAATACTTCATTTGGGAACCAGTTTGTGATTTTCCAATGATGGGGATGTAAACAATCCATCAGAAACTGTCGTGAGAATACCTTCTTGTCTGATCGAGTGAACATAGTTTTCAGACGGTAAACACTCTCTAGAACATTCAGTGCGCTGAAAATTCCCGCAGCTAAGTGTCCTCCAGTATTCCTTGATGCTACTTCACCCTCGTGTGTAAAGTTAACATACTCCTCGCTAAATCCGCCGAACTGGTGGAGTTCATGGTGAAAGAATGTTTCCTTCGCTCCTTCATAACCTTCTTCCTGTTCCAAATCATACTCCTTCAAATCATCAGGTGCCAACTTCTGAAGGATTGGTCTTATGGTCTGATTTCCTAAATTAGCACCCAGATATAGTCCCTTCTCTTCTTCACTTAGCAGGGCGAAGAAGTTGATCCCTGTGACAACTGGGTATCGCGGAAGAAAGATAACTTTGTTGTAAGCCGGCACAAAGTTATCTTTATATCTTCTTATCTTCTCAGTTGTGTCTTCGGGCGGGAACGCTGTGGCTATATCAGGAAATAGGCCCAGGCCACTGTCTTTGTCCCCGGATGTTATGTCCTCTTGTACCTCCTCCCATATTTTCTCAAACGCACTCCATCTAGCGGATTCTTTAATCTGGAAACCTAACGTGTCTGGTCCTTGGTTTTTTTTATCAAGTTTTCTGTGGAGTCTACCGCTAGCGATCTGTAACAATCCAACAAGAACATAGACCAGTACCAAACTCATGGCAATCAGCAATAAATGGGATTCGAGTTGTAAATACTTACGAAAAAACGAGTACGAGGTTTACAAGTGCTATTGTTTAGTATACGAGTGATATTGTTTAGTATACGACGGTTTTAAACATAGTTTTCAAGTCTCTCTGCAATTAGTGGTGGCCTGGGTCACTAACTCATTTATTTACTCACGTACTAAAAATGAGTTGTCACTACCGTCCTAATTCCTATAGCTATGCAACCGTGATTATTTATGGTACTTGACCATCTGATGGCAATATGGTGATGTTTTGTTTAAAGGTTGTGAAAATGTTGTTAAAATTCTCGGTGAAATGTCCTGATCTCCTATTTTCAGATCGGATTTTACTCTGAGTTTTCAAAACAGAAATTAAAAGCTCTGATCACAGATTACAGCGTCAAAGAGGTAAGAGAAAAGCTTTCTTTGATTTTTCTGCACAAATTTTCAATAAATACTGTCACCAGTATCTAACCGTTATGATGATTTGCTTTAAGATGGTTTTATTTATCAATTCTTATTGCTAGGTCAAGAAAGGACTAGAGTCAGTCATGAAAAAGATCGAAAAGCACTTCACAAAGGAGCAGAACCTTTTCACGGTGTGTACTTTTTAAATGTACTAATAATGTGTAGCACAGTAATGATGTAGAAACCCATAAAAGTAGCCAGCGTGACAGATATCACTTGGATTCTAACCCAAAGGTTCATCGTTGTTTTGGCCATAATGCGCGTCACGTAGTTGTAACGCGCGGATATATCAAATTTGATTTAGTGGCGCAAACGTACTTTCTTATTTAGTCCGAGACGAAACGGAATCTCGTTAGCTTTTCGTGTTAAAAGCGATTTCTCGACGGTTATCACCTCTCTAGATGATTCTTAAAACATTTGGACTTCATGGCAAGGTTGAAATACATGCAATGAGGGCGTTTTCGGCCACACCCTTTTTCAGGGTTTCGCAGTCACTCGAATTATTGTATTTCAGCCCAGGAAGGTCTTAAAGACTATTCCGATACACCAAAATATGCCTAATAGCCACATTTATATACAACTTATGAAGCAACATATACCTTAAAATGCTTTGTTTCGGAAATATGGCCGAAAAAACGGTTTTTGGCTTGACGCAGTTCATAATTTCCGTGATTTTTGGCATTTCCGCCTAGGAAGGTCGTAGAGACTATTCTGATACACCAAAATGTGCCTAATAGCCACATTTATATACAACTTATGAAGCAACATATACCCTAAAAGGCTTTTTTTTCGGAAATGTGGCTGAAAAACGGATTTTTGTCGAGCAAACAATGACAGTATTCACAAATGGGCTATTGGACTGTTAACTAGAAAGGTCTTAAAGACTCATGAGCAACACAGCATTTGTCATAAGATGTAAGATGACTCACTTTGTGTCCAGAAACACCTACAAAAATTGGAGAATGATCTACTTTATTGGGCATCTCTTTTAATGGGCCAGGCCAGCAGCATATTTGTGTCTTACGAAATGGCAATTTTTCAAAATTACGGTTTCTTTAGTAAAGGTCAATGGGTCAGTTGCAAACAGCAGATTGTTCGCAATTGCCGACTTATGCACATCATATACTCAAAAACGCTCACTTTAGGAGTCATTATTAGTAAATAACCAATACATGATTTGTGAAAACTCCAACAATTTTTCCTTGGTACCAATTTAAATAAAATGTGTGACGTGCCAGACCAAAATTCAACTTCAAACTTTTTATTTATTCATGCCATGAAACCATGATATATGTTCCATGAATACCGGACCTAAAATAAATCGGCACTGGATCCGGGCCAGATTGACGCTTGACCACTGACCAGTATAACTGTATAAGTACCCCACTTTATAATCATAATTGACTTCACTGCCTCGACCAATATTGGTCTGTAATCCCTGGATTGAGATCTGTTGGCTGCAGTTTAATTTAGCTCATTTACCATAATAGTAATACCGCAGTGGTTTGGTTCGCATAGATTTTCCCATCGTATGATAATGTGTGTCATTCCCTCGTTTTTTAATCAAGTGGTTACTGGCTAGCTCTTTTTTATTACAGCTGCCTCGAGATCTTATCTAGGGCACTAATACATTAGTACTAGACCATTAGAACTGTAATTCTAGAACTTCAGATTAAGATTACTTGGCCGAATGGCAGGGTTCGAGATTCGACTCTAAAACGCTCAGTTTAGGAGTGATTAGTAGATAACTACTGCATGATATGCGAAAACTCCAACTAGACAAGGATCATGCTTAATCAAAGTGTTCCTCGAATTGAACTTAAGTCTTGTAACCTACTGGAGTTTGGGCCACTGAATTGATCTAGGTAAACTATAGGTAAAAATATAATATTAATCATAAGCTAAAATGTACTAATCTTTGTATTCTAAATGGGGAAAAGAAGAAACATTGTCAGTCAGTCGAGAAAATTGTCAGTCAGGCTATATATATATATATGAATACGAACTGATATTAATTTTAGAATGTCGGGAAATTCATTAAGATTTTTATTCTTTGGTTTTTTAATTGTGCTACGAATCCGAGTTTGAGTTGATAACCCCGAATTTCCTGTTTGACTCTCAAAGAAAGGAACCAAGGCTTACGTTCCTCTTTTTGGCTCTGAGACCCAACTTTAAGATCGGACTTCGGAGATCCTTGCGTCGGAGATCATGTAAGTGTAACATCAGTACATGACATCAGACTTTTTTGCTTGATATTGAACCTATAAATCTAATTATATATTCGAAACAGCACGAGATGTAACCAAGGTTAATTTAGATAAGATATACCTGCTTTAGGGGTTACAAGACCCCACGAAAGGCAGGCAGAGCATCCTAAATCCTCATGCTATCCTCACGTTGACCATCTAGGTCCAAACTCCAGCCTCTCATTAAAAAACAGCTATTAGGCCCGAGATCCGTCCCTTGTCCCGTAGTGTCCCGTAAGTAAGAGATCGTTCAGATTTTGGTCATTTAGACCCCCTCCCAGCTCTAAAATCCACTTTACCCAAAGCTGGAAAAATGTCACATGTGAAACCTAAATAGCTAAATCAGCATCTCGAGACCTTCTATTATAAAAACCCCGTGATCCTACTATAAGATTATAACTTATAAGGCATAAAGGCATTGCATGCCGAAATTAAGATTCACTTCAACTGGTGATGTGAACCTGGTATGTTACCTGAATGCCCTCAGTCAAATCTCGAACCCTGCTAATGCTATTCTGCCAAGTAACCTTAATCTGAAGTTCTAGAATTACAGTTATAATCTTCTAATGTTCTAGTATTTGTGCCCATGCCCCAGATAAGATCTCGAGGCAGCTCACAGCTGTAATAACAGAAGAAATAACCAGTCACCACTTGATTAAAAAACGAGGGAATGACAGTTGACAAACATTATCAAACGATGGGAAAATCTATGCGACTGAAAAAAAGAATATGGGGTCATTCTAAAGTGGGAACCAGACCACTGCGGTATTATAAGAAATCCAGGGATTACAGACCAACATTGGTCGAAGCAGCGAAATCAATCATAATTAAAAAGTGGGGTACTGGTCAGCGGTCAAGCAACAATCTGATCCGGATCCAGTGCCGATTTATTTTAGGTCTGGTATTCTTGGTACATATATTAAAGTCACTATTGTGACGGTACATTAGAACTAGACAGAAACAAAGTGTGAAGGGCCTGAACGGAACCCCTCGGTTTCAATTCCTTGTTTAACACTGCCGTACAGCAAGGACATTCGCCGGGTTCTCCAAGGATGGGCACATAACTCATTATGGTTTCATGGCATGAATAAATAAAAAGTTTGAAGTTGAATTTTGGTCTGGCACGTCACACATTTTATTTAAATTTGTACCAAGGAAAAATTGTTGGAGTTTTCACAAATCATGTATTAGTTATTTACTAATGACTCCTAATGTGAGCGTTTTTGAGTATATGATGTGCATGAGTCGGCAATTGCGAACAATTTGTTGTTTGTAACTGACCCATTGACCTTTACTAAAGAAACCGTAATTTTGAAAAATTGCCATTTCGTAAGACACAAATATGCTGCTGGCCTGGCCCATTAAAAGAGATGCCCAATAAAGTAGATCATTCTCCAATTTTTGTAGGTGTTTCTGGACACAAAGTGAGTCATCTTACATCTTGTGACAAATGCTATGTTGCTCATGAGTCTTTAAGACCTTTCTAGTTAACAGTCCAATAGCCCATTTGTGAATATTGTCATTGTTTGCTCGACAAAAATCCGTTTTTCAGCCACATTTCCGAAAATAAGCCTTTTAGGGTATATGTTGCTTCATAAGTTGTATATAAATGTGGCTATTAGGCACATTTTGGTGTATCAGAATAGTCTCTACGACCTTCCTAAGCGGAAATGCCAAAAATCACGGAAATTATGAACTGCGTCAAGCCAAAAACCGTTTTTTCGGCCATATTTCCGAAACAAAGCATTTTAAGGTATATGTTGCTTCATAAGTTGTATATAAATGTGGCTATTAGGCATATTTTGGTGTATCGGAATAGTCTTTAAGACCTTCCTGGGCTGAAATACAATAATTCGAGTGACCGCGAAACCCTGAAAAAGGGTGTGGCCGAAAACGCCCTCATTGCATGTATTTCAACCTTGCCATGAAGTCCAAATGTTTTAAGAATCATCTAGAGAGGTGATAACCGTTGAGAAATCGCTTTTAACACGAAAAGCTAACGAGATAGCCTTTTAGAACGGTTGGGATCCGACTAATTCGTAAATTTATGGATATTATATGGTAGGGCGAAGTTCTGATGCTGGGCTTGGAATTGAAAGCACTATGAATTTTATTGACACACGCTGTAACCCCTTTTGAGCGCGCGCGAAGGGGTTACAGCGTGCACGCTTCGCGTGCACGAGAGGTATACAACGTGTAGCAAGAATTTTAGAGATCCTGTACTATACCGTAAAGTAAAAGTAGGCGAGGCCCAGTGGTGCATCTCGCCGATCTACCGAAGTGTGGTGAGAAACATTATTTATGATTTAATTGCTGATGCGTGGCCCAGTAGAGCATCGCGCTACAATGTTATAGTCTATGTAATAAGCGCCATGAGCTGGCACAGAATTTTTTGTCTGTGATTTTGATAAATTTGGTATCAAAAGTTGCCTCTAAGTGTGAATAATGAAAATTCACCGTGTAGCACGATAACGGCGAGCTGTATGTGGGTCTTTTGTGCATCGCAAGAGTGTACAAAGGACGAAAAATGGGTAATGTATTGCTTAAAATGCCTATAACTCCTAACATATTGAATACATACAGGATCGTAATGAGCTTAGTCAGACGCAACTTTTAGTACCAAAATTATAGTATTTGAAGCACAAAAATTTTCAAAAATTTCACAAAGTTCAGATTAAAAATTTTTGAAAATAATTTTCCTTCAAATCTTAAAATATTAGTACTAAAAGTTTCGTCTCGATGAGCTGATTACGATATCATAATATTTATGTGATAATAACTGAAAATGTGAAAGTTATAGGCCAAAAACTAAAAATTTGCGCGAAAAAAAGTACGCGCGGCGAACAAGCGCCGTGTAGCATTTTTAGCGAAAATTGCTACACGGTGGATTTATTTTATTCACATTTTTAGACAACTTTTGGTACCAAATTTATCGAAATCGGAGAAAAAAAGTTCTGTGCTCGCACTTGTATTGGCGCTTATTTAATTACACTGACTATTAAATTAACTTAAACGCGTCACATTTCTTTCAGGTCGCATGCTTGACAATGCAAGCTGAATTTATAAAGCAAGTCGAAGGATACGAAAATCTGATGAAACTTTGCTACCCAGATGCAGGGCTGAAGTTTTCCTTTTCTGTTGCCCAGATTCACGCTATCTTCGATGGGAAGAGTCCACGACACTGAGTGACTCTTGATTATACTGAAACATTTTTCCCTCAAAATGTCTGCAAGTTAAATATATGATAATTGGCATGATGAATATTTGTTGCAACTTAATTTGATATCTAACTTAACGTGAATTAACCCGTTACTTCTCAGTTGTATTTAATATTTGCTGATATTTAAAAACATATTGCTATTTGTACAGCTTTATATTTATTGATTTGAATTGTTTATATTCGTCCGTTTCAAATTATTTGAGCTGTTTAGAAAATATTGGTTTTTTGTGTATTCATATTCATGATTCTTACATAATTTGCTTAAATTTGGTTGTTAAGGTTTTGTTTTACTTTTCAGTCGAAACGGGGAAATATTTCCATCAAAATATAAATAACTTAGTGTACAATAACTCAGTATCTAATACAAAATCACACTGAATCATTTCAATATTAATTAGATCAGTCCATAGGCTAGCAATATTCCTAGCACGATACTAAATTTGACACTAGAAAGATCTCAAAAATAAGGTCTCTCATTTTTCTTAGATAAATGTTCACAACTTTTTATCTTCGCCTTCCAGAACAATATTGTAACCCAGAGACCTACGAGCCTCAGGACTTCGGAGTTCAGGCTCGACCAGGGGTTTCTGCCAGGGATAAACCCTGTCTTTCTCATCGTGGTCCTCCAACTTAACCCAATTACCTTCATTACTGATACATTCATAGTTAGGAGTAACCCATGGGATCAGCCACATGGGGTTGGTCCAGAACAGGTAGGCTTGGTAGAGACCGAAGGCGATGAGAACTGCCCGTAATAAGGGGTAACGAGCAGGACGTCGGCTCTCGTAGAATGGAGGGTAGTGTTTGGGCCAATTCTCAGGGTGGTCCATGTCAATCTGAGGGAAGGGAGAGGGGTTAGCAGATCTAAATAATCCACTTACAGAGCATGTATATAATCTAAGTTTAGAGTTGCCAGACGTTGCCTGCCTGACACGCCGGGAGGGTCCGCTCCTACTAAATCGCTCGCCCAAATTTTAAGAAAATTCTTGTGAAAAGGCCCTAAGGGTATGAAATTGATCTGGATCGGTGTATTTTTGAACGCTGATTCCGAATCACCCCCCATGACGTAGGGTGGGTCACATGAGACAACATTTAGGGTTAATGGTGGGAAAATCCTCTCCATTTTTGCAATATTTTTATGGCGAAAATGGAAAAATCCTGGGGTACGATAATCCATATATTTGGGGATCATCGGCCACCAGAAAACCATTGCACCAGTAAACTACAATAGCATTTAAAGCGTTCAAATCGCTTCCTTATCGCTTATCATTTGTTGTTATCAGCTTACATTTTAAACTGATGTTACGAGCTGAGTATTATTTAAATTCCACACTATCCACAGTGAAATCCACTCGACTATAAGAAATCATAAATCGTGATGGTATGATATGATATCATTTTCTTGCGCATATATATTTGTTGGGAATAATTAGGTTTAAAATCGTTGTCTTTTCCGTTGACAAAATATGCTGGTTATTGAAATATCACATTCTCCTTGGAACAGTGTTCCTGGTAACTAAATACTTGCCCTCAGGAAGATGATAGCACTTCAATGGTTGCTGCTCATGCAGTGTTTTATCGGTGGCACTGCTGGAGCTAAAATACTAGTTGCAGCTCCATTTAGTGGCAGTCACTACTTTGCCACTTCAGACATCGGACACCTGCTCGCTAAACAAGGACACCAAGTTACCTTTGTAGCTCCAATTATAGATCCTCGAAACATAATGGAGCACGAGAACTTTACTTTGGTGCCACCATTTTGGAAAATTGAGGGACTCGGAGGCAATGACACATATGGATGTGTGATGTCAATAATTGAGTCAGAAAGGGACGACTACTTGTACTTTGATACCCAGGCGGCAAACGAAGTATGTAAACAAAAGTGGGAATGGCTTTACCAAATTCTCATAAACTATTACACCAGTGATCAATTCTTACAGTTACTGATGGATGAACAATTTGACCTGATCGTTGCTGAAGATAGAACTTCCATTCCGATACTCGCTGTGACAAATAATATTCCACTGGCGGTATATTTTCCTGAAGTTGAGTACAGCAGGACTAGGATGGCTCAAAATCTCCCGCAGTTTCTCTGCAGCGAACCTAGCATGGCAATTCAAGTCTATGATGGAGAGAAACCAGGTTTTTGGAGGAGACTGTATGGGATTTATAACCTGGTTGTCGGAGGAGCTAAATTAATATCTGCTGTTGAGACGATGTTGAAACCGGTCTATGCCAAGTACAGTATCAAGTCAACACAATCCTTGCTGGAGAAAATACAACTATTTATCATAAATGACCACCCGGCATTCTCATTTCCATATCAAGTTGCAAACAACGTGGTACAGGTGGGAGGATCTAGTTTGACAGAAGGAAAACCTCTCCAGGGAGATCTGAAAACGTTTGTTAGGAACCAGACGGACCCTATCGTGTATGTATCAATGGGAACATACATTGATTTCATATAATGGCTAAAGTGGCATGCCATCTTGCTAAAAGTTCTGCAAGAAAGCGAATTTAGTGTGGTTCTCAAAGTAAATGAAGGGAGTCAATACAAACTCCCTGAACTTTCTAGCAAGTTTTTTGTGTCGTCCTGGGTGCCACAACGAGATCTTCTGGCAAGTGGGGATATCACACTGTTCATATCAAACTGTGGTAACAATGGCAAGATTGAAACCATATATTATCAGGTTCCGGTTCTGTGTACTCCTACTATTGGAGAGCAAGGTATAAACGCGGACGCTATTAAACACAGAGGTTTCGGAGAATTGATTCTACCAACAAAGATCTCAAAGGAAACTCTCAAACGTGTAATCGATAAAATGATAAAAGAAAATGAGTCATATCGTGAAGAAATGTCAAAAGCTGTAGACATCTTTAAAACAGATCCGGCTTCTGGTAAAGACAAGTTGATGTATTATTTGAACTTGATACTGAAGCATGGAAACTTGGACCACTTGATTAATCAAATCATGATGCAGCAAAACTTCTTGGAAATGTACCATCTAGACATTATATTCTTTGTCACTTTGATCTCTACAATGATCAGTTATCTTATATTCGAAGATTGTTTCTAGAGTGGTGTTAGTTGTTTCTTTTAAGTAGAAATATGTTTGTTCTGTAACATGTAAGTATTTTTAATGTTTGTAATAAAGTTATTTTTCCTTTTACTTGCCAAAATTCATAACTAAACAGTTTTCTTACTTGTAACGGATTGTCATTGTCAATTTAAAAGCTATTTTTATGTTCATTTAAAACTGAAAGTACCAACTAAAATACTGGCGAAAACGTGCGGAAATCCTAAAATATTGATGGCAAAAATGGCGATAAAATAAACTTGATCACCTTGAGATGTGGTGGATAACGACCGTCATTCTCTAATAGCAACTCTTCATGAGGCACTGGAGGTTTCCTAAAACCTGAAGTTAAGAAACCATGTTAAAAGAGATTCATGAACAGGCAACATATCACTTATCAGCAGTCTATATCTTCATTTCTTTCCTGAGCTTTAGAGTTTTGTAACATGCTTGTTACCCCCCCCCCCCCCCCACTTGTTATTGCTTCTAAGAACACCTACCGGGTATTTTCCTGATGTTGCCATAATCGAAGTGAGACCCAGCTATAGTCCTCACCAGCAGCAGGTGGCGATGTCTGCACACCGCCCGAGTCGTTAACGACATGCTAATAAATTATATTTGTAAGGAATACAAGGAGTTAAATTGGAGAGCGGGTTGTCTGAAACACAATGCTTGCTGGAGTTACTTTTATTAGTTGAAAAAGTGGTCGACTTATTGAAGTATTAAGGACATGCTGTCGAATTTAAATTAATCATAAACATGGTATCATAGTGTAAAACAATCTGTTGAGTCAATAAATTATTGCGATAAAATCAATTGAAGATAACAGTTAAGAATAAGTTACCCAGTTAAAAATAAAAGAATCCTAAATCTGTCCCCTCTTCTTTCTGTATTTCAAATCATTGGCCTCTCCCTGCTCCTTGCTCAAGAAGCCCATAATTTCGTTGACCTTACGTTTCCTCGCCTTATCAGAACTCTCTTGCTCCTTGTGTTTCACACGGCTGATAAACTTGTTATCCTTTCTAATCTCGCGGATAGCTCCCTTCATCTCAGTCTTAATCTTCTTCTTCAAATATTTGGTCTCATCCTTGTCCTTCCTGTCTCTCACAAAGACATCTCCGAATTTAGGTTCGTACATTTTGATTGAAACGGGCTTAATGTTTTGATACCGTAGGAAAGGCATTATTTTCTGAGAGTATTGGTCGTATGAAGCAGTGAGAGATGTGATGAAGGACTGGATATCAGTGTGCCACTGTTCAGCCTGCACATGTTTCAGGGATTCTACAAGAGGATGAAATACTCCGCTGAACCCAGTGAAGTCGTTAGCGTTTCGCATTGCAGTCCTTGTGATCATTAACAAAGCATATATGACATCTGATTTCGAGGTATGATTGTCATATAACTGACTGATCGACAACTTTCCCGGTTTTGTGTTGTCAGCCAAGCCATCTGGCCTGATCTTGAAATTGCTGACATATTCCTGGCTTTTTGCAGAGGTCGCTGTAGCCAAACATCTTAAAACTTGAGTCAGAAAGTAGATGACCTCTGGAGAATACCTTCCTTTAGAGCACTGCAACACAAAGCCACACAAAAACACACCTACTTTCAAATCCGTCAATTTCTTGACAGAACAGGCTGAGAGGGCCCAGTTTATTGACATGAGTACTGGCGTTAATACTGGATGTTTGTAGTCCGTTACTGGGTAAATTCTCTGTAGAATGTACAGATAGATAACATAACGCTTGCTGAAGACTGCACTCAAAGATTTGCCAGTGTTTTTCGCGACGAGATGCTTCAGTGAATTCAAAACATCGAAGAAATGCTTATAAATCTCTTTCTGAACATGCTTGGTAACTGAAAACAGTGCTTTACAAGATACGTCCAGAACATTCTTTGAAAGTTTACCCTCCCCATATTTGCTGACAAGATACTTAATAAGCACGACATAAAACGTAGCGGTTTTAGCCTTGTTCTCCTCTTTCAAGGTCGGATGGTTTGAAGCTACGATTCTCTTAATAATTGCCTCCACGTTAGAGTCGCTCTGTCCAGACACCAATGCATTTAACTCTGTAAGATGTTCAGGAGAGTCTATAACGAAAGGAATGTCGGCTGTCATCTCCAGAACCAAATCCTTGTGGTCTGTCTGGGGTGGTTCCTCTGTCTCATCCTCCTCGACTTCTATGTCTTCAATCACGCAGTTGCCGTCAGCGTCGTCAATCTCGTCCTGTAGGAATGAAAATCATCAATCAACTTGTCGTGACGAAAATAACTGGGTTGGTACAGGAAGACTCACCAAAGTATTATACCACCAAGCACTAGTCAAAGATACGATGTATGCATTTCGGTAGTTTGTAATTAAATTGGCGATAATCGAGGAAACTCAATCCAACATTGACATGATACTTGATTGACACGCGACGATATCGCGTCCGTCGCGTCGTCTAATTTAACTCACGCGCGCGAAAATAGGAGCCCTTTAATTAATTCTATGTCGTTCGGATTTCGCGCAGAAGATGAATCCGAGATTTTGGAACAGTTTGAGACAACTTTTTATCGATGTTTTTTTGCTGTATTTGTCCGTAAACTAAGATGAATTTGCTCTGGTATGATAGGATGGCATGTGTACTGACATTTCCAGCTAGTTTTGAAATATTTATCGAATTCATGGAATGAATGAAATGAACAAAAAATGAACATTGTCTCAGAATGTCCTGGACTGAGCTGAAACCGATTAGGATCGATTGCTATTGATACCAGGAGTGTCCCCGGGAAGTTTGGTGGGTCCAGCTCGTTCAGAAAGGGCTCTGGGCAATATTTTCATTTTGGTTTCTGAGCAGTAGTTAAGATTTTGGAAACATTTTTAGAAACATGCTTTTTAGCGGTAATTATGCCTGGACTAACATGGAATCGATCTGGTATGGTAGAGGGGCATGTGTACTAACATTTCCAGTCACTTAGAAGTGCGAAATATTCCCCTGGTTCATGGAATGAACGAAATGAACAAAAAATCAACATTATCCTAAATTCCCACGAATTGAGCTGGAATCGATTGGTATTTATATTTTATATCAGAAGTGTCCCTGGGAAGTTTGGTGGGTCTAGCATGTATACAATTTTAACCGTACGGTTTATGTAGTAAATAAGCTGTGTCCCATCTACTGTTCTCTAGAATTCTACACCATCTTGCCAACTCCTTTTATATGCGATTATCTAGTACTATAGATGTGGATACTGGCGGGGAGGTGATCATTGTTTGTTTACATTAATAGGGAACACATGTTCAGGAGGCTGAGGAGGTGATCATTGTTTGTTTACATTTTAGGTGGAACACATGTTCAGGAGGCTGAGGAGGTGTTACATATTTTGTATTATAGAAGGCTTGTAACACATGTAACGCCTTCTTGTTACCCCCCTTTGAGGACCCCGAATTATTTTCTGAATCAACATGTTCTTTGTTTGAGTAACACAACAATTTTGAGGAAAAAGGAAGCGTTATTGGGCTGTAAAACCAACTTTAATCGATTTCTCGTGCAACGTTGTACAGGTGAGAAACAGTCACAAAAATGAGATGCTTACCTGCTGTGTTTTGTCGTACTCTGCTCTTCGCTCAAGTTCGATCAGTTAAGGTTAGGATTGCCTCGATCTTTCGGTTTCAGCCCTAGGTCAAGAGCTGTAGAACCGAAGGATCAAAATATATGTTGCTTGTTGCTTGCATTCTAAACTATAAAACATCGATTTTGAGGAATAAGGAAGTGTTTATAGGTTCTGAAACCTAGCTAAATCGATTTTTCGTGCAATTTTAGGTTAGAAACGGTCATCAAAATGAGTTAATAAGAAGGTCGATTTCTCGGTTATTTTTGAGCTTTCGTTCAGAAAATAATTCGGGGTCCTCAAAGGGGGGTAACAAGAAGGCGTTACATGTGTTACAAGCCTTCTATAATACAAAATATGTAACACCTCCTCAGCCTCCTGAACATGTGTTCCACCTAAAATGTAAACAAACAATGATCACCTCCTCAGCCTCCTGAACATGTGTTCCCTATTAATGTAAACAAACAATGATCACCTCCCCGCCAGTATCCACATCTATACCTACTGCAGTACTGTTCAATTTTAGTTGTTGTCCCTCACTGAATGACTTCATTTATTCTTACATTTCAAGCAATCAGAGAAATTCCTATGAACAGGTACAGTGTACACAGCTAATCACATTTGACAGCGTGTACACATTATAGTGATTTTCGGTGTCACATTATATTTTCTACATTGTCAACATTTCTGAGTTATTATATATTAGGTAATATTTTATTTTGTTATTTATTCTTATTTCATTTTAATTGTTTGTAATTATTTCGATTAAAATAAGACAGCTTTTTCATTGTTTTTAATCAGATCCGAATCATATAAATCAATAATCAGACATGAATCAAAATTCAATAATAATAATTTAACGCAAATAGCAAATTGTAGCAGTTACAGGTATGTAGCAATGTTAGGGAAGGAGAAGTTTTAGGTATGTAGCAATGTTAGGGAAGGAGAAGTTTTAGGTATGTAGCAATGTTAGGGAAGGAGAAGTTTTAGGTATGTAGCAATGTTAGGGAAGGAGAAGTTTTAGGTATGTAGCAATGTTAGGGAAGGAGAAGTTTTAGGTATGTAGCAATGTTAGGGAAGGAGAAGTTGTAGGTATGACATGTAAGTTCCAGCTGTAGTAGGAGATGTTGAAGTTCCAGGGGAAGTACTATAAAGCTATATAACGAGGACTTCCAGATAAGGAGTAGTTTCAGGTAAATAAACTGTTACATACTAGGGAAGGATACAGCAGTTCCAGGTAAGGATGACAATAATTTGTCCAGGTAAGGATGACAATAATTTGTCCAGGTAAGGATGACAGTAATTTGTCCAGGTAAGGATGACAATAATTTGTCCAGGTAAGGATTAGGTTCGTGATAATAATATGTCCAGGTAATGGGTAGTTTAGTGCTAGGATAGATCAGGGGAACTTGAGGAATGAAGAGACGATTAGGATTAGGATTAGGATTAGGACGATTAGGATTGTCGGATTTCTTCAGTGCAAACCAAAATCGTTTCACTCAAATAATTTGAATCATATTCACTCATAAATTAATGTTCATATACATCGATAACAATAATGATGTAAGGTTAATCATTACAAATAATTTAACCATATTAGTTACTGATACAAACTGTTGTTAAATACAAACCTGTTGGAGTGAAGTTCTAAGGTGAAAGTTCTAAGGATTTTCTTAGGAGTCAAATCAGGACGCTTGTACGGGCATGGAGCTAAAAATTTGTTATCTCTAAAACTTTCTCTTACCTGTCTACGAATCGTCGGTCCTTTGAGATGTTGAAACTTTAAGGGATGGTGGCCGTGAGATAGGGACCAAAGGAATCCAAGCGCCAAAGGCCCACAGTCATACCCATTACCTTGACTTTGAGTTTGTACAAATCTAACGACTGTTGTCTGTGGTCTCAGTTGTAAAATTTGACTGCTAATACATCTATCTATAATCATGCATGTTTCTAAAGACTGAGGGGTTCTTAATGAATCGAATATCTCTACTACGTGTGGCTCTCTAACGAATGTAAGGGCGTTGGAAAGGCAAAACCAGTGGTTATTGTTAGGATTAACTATTTGAATAAACTTACCATCAACGGGACTAAAACCATTTAACGAATAACGACTTCCTAAAAGGGTATCTTGATATACAAAAGAATTGGAACGATTGAACTGGCACATGAGGGCGTACGAATTAATAACAATATCATCATACCAGGAAGTGGCGGACTGGCAAATACGAAACTGCTCTGAATACAAATCTAACCTACCAGTATCTGAGCAGCTTTGCCACGTTTTACTTACGGGTCTTGTAGTGTGACCCGGACCCATCTTTACTTTCTTCCTCTTAATTTGTACTTTTGAGGGAGCAGCTCTTTTCATCCCTGACAAAGGTTCAAACTCAAAGACGTTGACAGGTTTCTTACTTTCTACTTCAGGAATGTTTACAGGAATATTTACAGGCTTCTTACTTAAAGGTGTACTAAGTTTAAATATTACTAGGCAGGCTGAGCGAGCAAACTCAAGAAAGGCGTGCTCAGAAAGTAGATTACATTTACTGTTGGTCATTTCATAAAAATTGTCGCCAATACGAACAAAGCCTGAATAGATAGATTGGCCGGACTTAGCTATGTATGCAACAGTTTCGAACCTCACCTGGCTATCAAAATAAGAGACATCAAAATGTGAACAAACGCCATTAAAATACTTATCATCATCAGGCTGAGTAAGAACAATGAAGTCTACCATGGAATTCTGAGATTGCAAGCAATTATCTAGACCGATTCCCATATTTAAAGAGGTTGCTTTAGATTCTATCAGCAGTACACCAAGCTTCTTCAGATCAGGAAGAAAACAGATAGAAAAGATCGAGCAGGGGTCGGATGTCGAACCGCTTACATCTGAAATTTTCTTATCGATCTTCTTCTTCATCCTAAAATGTACTAACTGGTTGTAGGGGGTCTTGCCACAGACAAAAGAAAGCAGTTCGTGGCATAAACAAGTCTCCTCATCAAGTATAGGTTCACCTATACTACTTAATGACACCGCATAAACAACAGAGTTAAGGGCTGACGAATCAGAAGAGGGATCTTGCAGAAGAGGCAGCGGGTGAGGAGATTTCAAGTCACTCGTTGAAGGAGTGTCAAAACGGGTTGAATTTGAAGACGTTTTTTCAACACCCTTCCGGACTAGAAATCCCAACTCATCTACCACACACTCTTCTCCAACATTTTTCTCAACTCGACTTTTCCAAGCATCGTTTATCTTCTTGTTGTGGACACTAGTAAGATACGATACAAACAATATGTGCTGTTCAGGACTCATCTCATTGCAAAAACTTTTTGTGAGCGCAAGGACGTGGTTCTGCTGTTCTACTACTGACGTATTTAAATAGGCTCCTAGATTAGTACATTTAACAGACCTTAAGTACGTGTCGACTAAAGTTTGATTGGACTCATGGAAGATGTCAAACAACATTAGAACAGATGGAAGTAAGCTTATAGGATGAACTGAAGTGTGGTCGTAACTACTTATATCAAGCTGGCAGGTAGTGTATGTGTTATGATTAAATATAGCTGTTTTACGACCATCTTTGTACATTTCCGACTTTGGGCACTCGGGGTCACCTAAACGACCCCGGTATGGTC